GTCGTTCGCAAACTGCACATCATAGCCTACAAGTCAGACTCCGAAGATGACAGAGACACCAAAGATACTATGAGGAACTGCTAATACTTATTCATGCGTTTTTACAGTAGGCCTATTTTGTTTAAGTGGTAATCATCTTTACCAGTCATATCCTTTGCCTTTATTTATCCGTCATTTTATTTTCATCAGTTACTAAACTGTGTCAAAGAGGGACAACATGAATTCCAAAATGATCAACAATAAACTGCGCGTGACTCACTTGAAACTGATAGGTCTACTAGTCGGTGAGGTTACAAAATATATAAGGTTTTACTTGAAGGTTTACTCTAAGGTTTCAACAGGAGCATGACTCAAATGTGTAGGCTATGTGCATTATGAAATGTATCTCTTTAGATTGCCTTACATCAGTCGCCCTTGTACAAGGATAGATTCAGGTATGCCTAGGCCTACACCGGGATGGACGGTAAGTAAAGTGACATGCTGTTGTAAGGGATTTTTGTAATAGAAGTTTGGATTGGAAAATATGGCTTTTAAGTATGTACACTACATATATGTTGACACGCATTCAAATTAGTGGATTCTGTTATTTCAGCCACACCCGTTGCTGACAGGTGTATACAATTGTTCGTCATGAGCTTCATGAAATGGGTTTCCATGGTCAAGCAGCCGCACACTAGCCTAAGATCTTCATGCGCAATGCCAAGAGTCGCCTGGAGTGGTGTAAAGCTTGCCACCATTGGTCTCTGGAGCAGTGGAAACGCGTTCTCTGGAGTGATGAATCATGCTTCACCATCTGGCAGTCTGACGGAAGAATCTGGGTTTGGCGGATCCCAGGAGAACGCTACCTGCCCCAATGCATAGTGACAACTGTAAAGTTTGGTGGAGGAAGAATAATGGTCTGGGGCTGTTTTTCATGGTTCGGGCTAGGCCTCTTAGTTTCAGTGAAGGGAAATCTTAACGCTACAGCATACAATGACATTGTAGACAATTTCGTGCTTCCAACTTCGTGGCAACAGTTTTGGGAAGGTTTTAGAATGAGATGTTTGACGAGCAGGTGTCCACATACTTTTGTCCATGTAGTGTACGGTCCAGAATCACTGCGCTCCTGACATTGGCAAAGCTGTCAAACAAACAGGTATTGCAATGAATGAAATTCGTAAAATACAAAATATTTCATGAACTGAAATGGAAAAAGTCCTTGAGTCTGTGTTGCCATTAATAGCACAAACGAATGGTGCACTCATTAGTTTAATGCAACGGCAATACGTTTGTAGAAATGGAAATGTTACTAGGCAACTTGGCACTTGTGGGAAATGAAGAAAGGTAGTTCTACGTGACGAGAGAGCAGCAGAGAGCTCGCATCATCACGAATACCAGGTGAAAATAATATTCTAAAAGTTAATACTAAGGTTCTATTTTCTTAGAGAGTAAATGAGGGGGTTATTAGTTCAATACCTCTTAGACACCCACACAGCCACATTCACACAGTGATGGAATTCTCTGACAGGCTTTCCAAATGGGCACTTCAGAGGGAGAGAGAAGCAAAAATTATGAAAGACATCAAGGAGAAGGCCAACAGAATCAACCTGAAGTTCGACAGTGTCACCAAATATTTGGGCAAAGCCAAGGCACAGGCCAAGGCATTTGGGGAGTTCATATGGAACGGCCAGAGCCAGGTGACTGTAGACAGTAAGATTGAGGAGCAGGAGAAGGACCTGGGGGCTGTAATGAAGGACACTTGGGGGGGGTGGAGAAGCCAAGACTGTTTCGTAGATGCTGTGGAGTGCCTGGCAGTCACCTGTCAGAAATTGAGGAGAACAGGTTCCTCTGTCTGCATCAGGGGACGGGCCCTGACAGTGTTCAGGCTGTCATCACTGCTGCCACAATGACCTGCCCTCTCCTCATCCACTTTAAGAGGGATGCTAAGGCCTTATTTATGCCCAGCCTCCTTTCCAGCTGGACAGATGCATACAAATCAGCCAGGAGCTTTGTGACAGGATAGAGGAAAGGTAAGTGGAATGCTCATAACAATCCACCACTGTAGGTTGCCTAGTAGGCTATAGAGTGGTGAGGAGGAGGAGTCTACCGTGTCCGGAAGCAACTTTGCTATTCATTTTCTGGATTAAGGTTATCTCAAACATAGTTTTAAGATTTGTTTGACTATTTACAGTTACAGCTGATTTCGGGATTGTAAATCGATTCGCTCTCCTTAAATATTTGTCATCTGATGTATTCGTTTCAGTCTCTGAATATAACTTTTTGCCACCAGCTCCTGATATCAGGGCATAAAAATCTTTGTGTATACAGTGCATTCGGAAAGTATTCAGACCCCTTGACTTTTTTCACATTTTGTTACAGCCCCCCCCCCCCCCCCCCCCCCCCCCCCCCCCACCCCCCCAAAAAAAGAAAGAACATCACATTTACATAAGTATTCAGACCCTTTACTCAGTACTTTGTTGAAGCACCTTTGGCAGCAATTACTGCCTCGAGTCTTCTTAGGTATGACGCTACAAACTTGGCACACCTGTATTTCGGGACAAACTGATCCAGTACCTCCGCAAACTCGTCTTTATCCTCCTCATTTGGAAACGTGAAGGTATTGAATATATCGATTGCCTGTGGTCCCGCTATAGTAAGAAAGAGAGCAACTTTACGTTCATCCGGCTCCAATAGCAGACATATACAGCAAAAACGGCTGCCGAACTGTTTTCCAATTCGCATCCACATTCCATCCAGGCTCAAAGCCTCTGGTGGCTTGATAACATCCATTGCACTTCCATAAACTCCAACATTCACAGAAAAAGCACGATTTCCACTCCTGGTATCATGTATTACTTTGTTGGTTACAGCGAGCAAAGACGACCTTCACCATCAATCATAGTTAACAAGTCTTTAATGTTATTCCGCCATTGCCACACATATATCACAGGTGTCGTAAAAGAGTGTTGTAAACAATCACTCAGAAACACATCAATACAGATGATCAATTGAAACAGTACGCACCTGTGCTCGATTTCGAGTCTCATAGCAGAGGGTCTGTATACTTATGTAAATAAGTTATTTCTGTTTTTTTACATTTGCAAAGATTTCTAAAAACCAGTTTTCGCTTTGTCATTATGGGGTATTGTGTGTAGATTGATGAGAAACAAATTGTATTTGATCAATTTTAGAATAAGGCTGTAACGTAACAAAATGTGGAAAAAGTCTGAATACTTTCCGAATGCACTGTACAGTATTTTTTAAACTGACAAATAAACTAAATCAATCCAAATTGAGCAGCGGCCAATTGATGAATGGAAAGAGACATCTGTTACAAAACACGAAAAAGTTGAATGACATTCGGAGTGTCATGAGCCTCTCACTCCACCGGGTTACCACCTTAATTTTCTTCCACTCTGCTCACCACTCTCTCTACTCAGCCTAACTAGCTCCACCTGTCCCTGCTCTGCTCTGCTCTAATTACTCTGCCAGCTGCGCTGCATTACCCACTACCTCTCCCAGTATTTAAGGCCCTGTCTTTCAGCTCTCCGGTGTCAGATCGTCTGCAAAGCTCACACCCGGAACCTGTTTGCTCGCGCTTCTGGCTCACCCTGGTTTTGTGACCCCGGACCTGCCTGATTTTTGGATACTCTTCTGCCCCAGGAGATCCAGACCTGCTTCTGCCATAACGACTCCTGACTACTCTTCAATCCCGGTAACTCTGACCAGCCTTCTGCCTTGCTACTACGTATTTTGGATTTCCCTTGAACTGTACTGCTGCCTTGTTTCATTCCGCCCTGTTGTGTCTGTGTCTCCCCCCCCCAGGACTTCTGGACCACCCACCACCGGCTTCATAGGACGCATCGCTGCCACTGGGGGGGGCACAGACCCAGCACATTGGACGGGATCCCTGTTACCCCTGGAGCCTTCATTCACTCCCTACTTCCCTTTTCCCTTAAGTTTTAATAAACTTTCTGGTGTGACGCAATTGTGGTCCTCTGGTCGTCTGTCTGAACCGTGACACGGAGATTGTCAAGCCAAGCCTATAACACTGGGTAAGCCTACAACATAGGGAGGAATGTATTTTCTGTTTGTCGAGATTGACATGGTCTATTTATTGTAGTGTTGAAAACACAAACCATGATATTGAAGTGCCCGAAGTCGGTATGCTTTGTTTATTGATTTTGTGGTCATTGGCACAGAAACCTGTTGGTGGATTTTTTTTTGCATATATTTTATTTAATTATAAATATGGCATAAACATTTTGAAAATCTGATTCAGCCCTAGCTGATCATTTTCTGCAGCCGGCTCTGATCGTAGTGTAATGAAACAGGCAGGGAGAGTGAGCTTGTCTGTGGTGTTCAGCGAACCCTCAACCTTCTGGCCCGTAGCCCTGTGTGGCATCGACTGTGCCACAAATGCATGCTGAAGTGGCAAAGTCGATATCCACAATTATAAACACAGGCTCGCTACAGTTATTGTTATTTGTGGTCGTAAATATTATTTAGAGTTAATTCTATGAGATGGGAGTTTGTTCAATTTATTTTACAGTACAAGGGGAGGGTCATGTGAAAATATTTGTAACTTTGGGGAGGGTGATTTTTTTGGGGGGGACACCTTGAGTCGGATCAGCCCCTCCCCCCCAGTACATTTCGATCTGTCCCATTGCAAGACGTCTTCAACTTCCAGTGAAGTGAGAAATATGAGTCTTCTGTGCATGAAGGTACATGTCAGCAGCACAATTATAGATAGTATTTTGACTACACGGAACACATATTTTGGAAACATCAGGCCATGATATTAAACAGACTACTTTGAATAAGTGCCAAGCTGAATACGTTTCATTAAATTGCCCAGATTGTTTCATTTATTATAACATTAAATTGTAAAGTTGATTATAAAATTAGACTTGTGTACAGAATGATTGATGAAAATGGAAAAAGTGCTTTGTGTCATCTCTTTATGTTTAATTGTTGAACATTCTAAGTGCCACTGTACAGTTTGTTTGCGTCATACACATGGAGTTTTTCCCTCTCCGCTTCTCCTCCAGAGGGTAAAATGGCTGTTCCAGGACGATCTGGCTTTTCTCTAACATTAATTGACCTCTACACAGCGAGTCATGGAACCTCTGCCAGGTGTCCAGCTCTGTGCGCCACAATGCTGATCTGGCACGGATGAGCTGAGACCTCTCACTCTTGCTGCCTTTGGCCAGGCTGACGCTGTCTTTACAGATGAAGAAGACATCCAGGCCAATGAAGAGGGCGTTGATGCTGATGAGACCAGCCCGCGCTGACTTGGAGAGGGCTAGTGGGGCCACCTGTCCAATGTCCGGGATGTCCCCTGCTAGCTTGGGCAGGTTTTGTGCTGGCTGCTTTGCTTTCCTGCAACGCCAACTTACCAGCGCTTGTGATCAGATCTTCGTTTCACCGGCTTCAAACCCGAGGAAAGGTCAACTAGGAAGTCAATGCCTTTTCCGATGTCCCCAGTGGTGGCAATCACCTTCCCTGCTCCAACCATGTCCACCCTGCTCTGCCCCAGGATGGGCTCCATATTCCTGGCCACATCCTCCAGACACTCCTGGAGACTCTCCACGTCCTCCATGAAACTCTGGAAGACTTTACTAGCTTTCTTCTCATGGATGCTATTGACCTTCATCTCTGTGATGCCAGTGGTTAAACTGTTGACCCCACTGATGACCCCCAGGCTGACCCCTGCAATGGTGAGAGCCAGTGACACCCCAGCAGTGACAGGAGTCAGAGCTAAGCCCACGATGGATAGGATCCCTCCAGCCACCCCCACTGAGCTGCCTGCCACACTGGAGATCTTAGCCCCCAGCTTCATCCTGTCCAGCTGCACAGCACTCTCCTCCAGCTTGGTCAGAAACTGCTCCATCCTGGGTCGGCGCTGGCTAAACCGGCCAATGAAGCACTGAGCAGCCTCTTGGAACAGGAACGTCAGTCTGAGGTGCTGGTCCATCCTGACAGAGGGGACACAGATTCAACATCTATTTACTGTATACCAGTAAAATAAAAATATTAACAGAAGTTTAAAGAGAACAACCAAACTAACCTTACCTGATATCACTCAGCTGATTCAAATGTTGGAGCATATTTTGCATGGACTCTTCCCTCACATCACCAAGGTTGACCACAGGGATGTCATTCTTCTTTTTCCAAAACATAATTTGACTGATTGAGCAACTGTAACAATGCATATTAATTTCAACATTACATTATATTCATTAGATTATTATGTGGCTTTTGAATTATATCACAAAAGCCCAAGAACCTTGTAAAATTACATATATGAGAAGAAAGGACAAAAATAGTACAATTATGCTAATATAATATAAATTATGACATTAAATTTATGACATTAAAGCTGTGTGAGGCATCTTACCCAAGTTTACGCTCAAGCTGTGGTCTGATCTGTAATCTAACAGTAAAAAAATGGACATCAATAATTTTTCACTTCCCTCATTGAATTCTCAAACCCCAAACCCCGGCCTGGTCTGCATCTGCTTGGCCTGTTTCTCAAGCGTTCCCGGAAGTCTCGCGATGTTGCGCCTCTAGGTTTAGAAACTGTGATAAAATAGTGTACCCAGATACTTTTGGAGGAGATGGGAAATTAAGATTACGTATGTAACCACGGTTATGTGAGCTATTGGATCACTTCAATATGGTATCCTTCCACGCGGCAGGATACATTCCGAGTAAGAATTTCAGATTAGTCCTGTGTACCGTTTAGTGCTGCGGCTGACTCCCATAAATAGCTGCCACCACACTACTTCCACCTCGTGTCCTTTTCGAGGCGCCGTTGATCACCGACAAAGAGGATTGGAGTGATCCAACAGCTCACATAACCGTGGTTACATATGTAACCTTCGTTATGTAGCACTAAATTGGATCACTCTAATATGGTATCACAATACCAGATTAATCGGTGAACTAGGTAAGGCCCAGACAGAGAGCAAAGTCCCGTAGGACTGAGCTCAGGGCAGTCATAGTTGCTATGTCCCTCTGTCCCCACTCAGGGAAGCGGAGGCAACACCCAGCACAGCCGTTCCGTCCTCATTAGCAGGGGCAACAATGACTCGATAGTGCCTTTAGGGGAACTCCTCGGAGCAGTGCCCACAATTTAGCTACTCCTCTAGTAGAATGTGCCACTACAGCAGATGGCAGAGGACGGCTGGCCAGCCGATATGCTATAGTAATAGTGTCCACAATCCAATGTGAGAGGCTCTGGCCCAGAAGTCTCTCACCATAGCAAACGAATAGCCGATCAGACTGTCATATTGCCTGTGTCTGTATAATGTAAGAAAACCGTAAAACCGTTTGCACAAATGGCTCTCAAACCAGGTACAGAATATGCCCCACCACATTTGATATGATGCATTGGTGGAAGAAACCATGATGCCCCGCAACGTGTTCACCACATTGTCCTGAATGCCTAGACTGGTCCACTAACGCCTCTGAGTCCAAGCCCGAAGCTGGAGGCGGTGCGGGTCCGGATGCCACAGAGGTCGGGCCTCATTGGCAGCTGCAATAGGGTCCCCGAGAGGAGAGACAACAGAAGACTGAACCATGGTGGTCTCGGCCAGTATGGAGCTATCAAGAGAAGCTGGTGGCCAATCAAGATGACCCTGTCTAGTGTAGCTGTGATCAGGGGAAATGGTGGGAAAGCGTAATGCGGCATTGCCGGCCAATCGTGAGCGAGGGCGTCCAGACCCATAGGGTTCGAAATCGAGAACCAGCTGGGGCAATAAGTGTTCTCCTGAAATGCAAACAAGTCCACCTGTGCTCTCCCAAACCTGTCCCAAAGCTGTAGCACCACCTGAGGGTGGGCTGGATCTGTTGAAGAGCTAGGCGAACCACCCTGAGCTCCAGCACATTGATGTGTTAACCACTCCATGGGGGTCCAGCGGCCAGCTGCCTATGAACACGGCACATCAACCCGTCAGAGAGGCTTCAGTGCACACCAGCTCTCTGCGGTGGACTCTGATCAGGCTCACCCCCTTTAACAGGAAGGAGCAGGATAGCCACTTCGATAGGGTCCTCAAACATGCACTCATCACCAACAGTTGACGGTGTCTGTGTTGTTTTGGGTGCCGGCCGTGGGAGTTGAACCATCGCTGGAGTGGCCTGATGGAGAATGTCCAGCGGAACCAACAGTGAAGCCACCGTCAGTAGGCAGAGTAACTGTTGGCACTCTAACACCGACATGGCTCGTCCGAGCCGGAAACAGTTGAGGTAGGATAGGATTTTGTTACTCTCACCTGAGGGAGACGTGCCCTAATGAGAGTTGAGTCTATGGACATCCCGAGGTAGATCACCTTCCGTGAGGGGGTCAGGTGACTCTTCTCCTCGTTTGGGGTGAGGCCCAGAACTCAAATGTGTTTCAAGAGGGTCCTCGTGTCCGTTGTGACCTGTTCCCTGGATGGGGCAGACTATCCAATCATCCAGGTAAGGCAGTTATTCCTCCAGTAGAATGTGCCACCACAGCAAAAGACAAAGGCTAGCGGACCAGCCAAAATGCTGCAGTAACAGTGTCCACCATGCAATGTGAGAGTCCGGTCGGATAGGCCGTTGCCCAAAACTCTCTCACCATAGTTAACGAAAACTGATAAAGCTTTTGTATTGCCTGGGTCTGTGAAAAGTGTCCATTGCCCTATCCAGGCACAACACACTGGGGGAAGCCCCTAGTTCACCCACAACAGTGAGAGGGGCGTGTGTGGATAACTGTAATGGCCGGTTAACGTGTCTGTCAGACAGAACTCTTGGCTAGAATGAAGGGTTTGGGTGTAGGTTGACACTCCTTCATCTGAACTCATTCGGAAACATTCAGTCAACCAGTGCGTCAACACTAGAAGACCCTGAGACATTTGAGGCGACCGGGACTATAGCGGTGGCCAGCATCGGAATTGGAGTTTGTAGCCTTCCATCACTGTATTTAGTGCCCATGGGGACTCCACTTGCCTCTCTCACTTCGGCCTTTGGGAAGCTGCCAATGCCAGCGGCAAGCACCTCAGGGTGACTGCAGAGTGCCACCCTTCTTAGACGCAGTCATCTCGCATTTCTCAAGGCGAAAAGCAATACTGGAAATGGTAGTTTCTCTCTGTGGGAAGAAGAGATGGATAGTGTATACCCTGCAGTATAACAAAATAATATGGCAACCCCAGCTATACACTGCGTAAAACCAGCAGTGTAGTCTAGCTGTTATGTGAGTTTCTAAGGGAAACTAGGATACTGTCTGTACTGTAAACTAATGTAACAAAGCTATAGTAAACCCAGCTATATACTGAGTTACAGGGGAAACTAGGATAGTTACAGTCTTAACTGTAAGTACAAAATAAAACTAATAACCCCAGCTACACACTGTGCAAGACCACAGTGTAGTAGCTGAAAAGTGAGTTTCCAAGGGAAACTAGGACAGTCACTAGAAACTAGCATAGTTACTGTATGTAGCCTACTGTAAGTAGTGCAACAGAAAAACAATAGTAAACCAGTGAAAAAAACATTATTGTAATAGAGCAGTCAGTTTTGTGGGGATCTATTTTCTTATAACTAGATGTGATGCCTAGCTTAGAAAGAATACATTAATGATTAAACATAATAGGTTTGTGCTGTACTGATATAGATTGTTTAACATAACAAGCTGTGATTAATGTGAGGAACCGTTAGGGGGTAGGCTGAGACACACACTGCCTCTTTGTTAAACCGCTCAAGGACATGTGTTCTGCTACAAAGAAGAACAAACTATGTCTGAGGTTGCTGACTCGAGACAAGTTGTAAAGATAACAACTAATGCCCGGCAACAGTGAAGCGCCAAGGGACTGGGACCAGCCTGTGCGCCATCGATAGGTTGGGTAAGTTTAAACTATCTCTGTCAGAGTATTTAAAGAAGAACTTATAACAATGGACCAGTTCTCTGTCTGCCCTGCGTGGTATTTCAGTGGACCCGTATATACGAACATCATATTTACCATTGAAGCGTTTTGCATTAATTAAAATACTAGTCCATTTTAGAAGACGTGTATTGACCTCTTTTTGTTCCAATACCAGATTTGAATTGACGCAATTTATCAATTGGTGACCTCCGACTGTGATCTGGTAGAGGGACTTCGCTGGGTATTGTCCGGCCGATTGGACATCGCTGTCATTGGACGGTGTGTTTCACAAAGATTCCGGACAACTAAAAACAGGTAAGCAGACTCCTATTGTTATATAACTAAAGTTCTGCACATTGGCTTTATCCAAATTAATTTTGTGAAACACCTGTCTGATGTAAGTGAACTAAATTATGAAACTATTATGAGTAGATAAGCACCATATTGTGACATGCAAACCTTTGGTGAATGTGATGTTAAACCATGGTACCATAGAGTATTGTTCTACCGGCAAGGTCCGTTTCTGCGGGAGGTACGGCTAGGTTCGGAGAAAATACTGAAATCTATCGGCAAGGTCCGTAACTGTGAGGGTACAGCTAGGTTCGAAGATACAGGGAATAATTGACTTAGTAATTGCTATCGGCAAGGTTCGTAACTACGGGGGTACGGCTAGGTTCGAAGAATTACACCGGCAAGGTCCGTAACTTCGAGGGTACGGCTAGGTTCGGGAAATTTTAGATAATACTAGCGACTGGCAAGGTCCGTAACTGCGAGGGTACGGCTAGGTTCAGCTGAGTATTCTTTAGATAGGGGGGAGGATAGTAGGCGAGGTTGAATTTGACAATGTAAAGATAATGAATAGTCAATATAACTAAAGTGAAATGTATTGAACTGATATAATTAAACTGTAACGTTGGTGTTTTAAATAACATAATACTGGTTTTAAATAATTAAGTTGAAGCAATTTGGTTTATTATTTAATTTAACGTTTGATGTTTGACCCTGCAAAATACTGGTTAAAGAATTAGACTGAAATAATTTGGTTTATCGTTGAAATATAAATATGCACCGACTTTAACTAATTAGGTGGGAATCATTTGATTTAAATAAATAGATAGACGTACTTTAAATAATTAAATAACGGACGAATATTACAAATTAGGACGAGGAACAGACGGGGCCTGTTCCGACTGGACACAGGAGGGAGAGCCGCGAGGGGAGGGGCTGGAGACAGCGAGAGTGTGGCTTTTGGAGAGTCAGGAAAGACTGGGGGGTGATTTGTGTCGATTGGGAGTTGGCTCGGAACACCACGGGGCGATTGTTTGAGAGGTGCCTGTGGGTTTCTGACGATATATTCGTATGGGCTTGCTCGCCCGAACGTAGACGTACGTAATGGGTGAGAAAGTAGAGAATATGAGTTTAAGGTTGTACCGTTGTTTGATCATGTGATGGGGTTTGATGGGTGATCGGACCATGACTGGTGTGATTATGGAAGTAATGTATAAATAGTGGAGAGCCAATAGGGGGCTCCATTGAACTATTATGTTTTATTTGGCATTTCAATGGCATAAGGTGAAATCTGTG